ACTCCAGCACCTTTCCCATACATAGAAAAGCACTAAAATCATAGACTTGAGATGTCTGCTTTTGTGATCAGAAGTAATCTCTTGATATACATGGAGGTGAGGGGTGTTTTTGTTTTTGCAGCAGAAACTCCTACATATCCTGGCTCTTAGCTTAGCAACAGCCCCCCAGCATGTGGGTTGCAGCTCACCGGCTTAGTTGCTGCAAGGCATGTAGGATCCTCCTAGACCAGGGATCAATCTGGTGTCCCTTGCATTGCAAGGAGGATTCTTAACCACTGGACCACCAGGGAAGCCCTCTGACTTGCTTTTAAATAAGAAAACAAGCCTCTGTGTTTAAGCCACTGTAGTCATTTCCTTATTAAACATGATGTTAGTAGTTTCATTCTATTAGGAATAAACAATGAATGATTGTTCTATTCAGATCATCTATTCAGATGATCATAGTCCATTTGCGTTATTAATGTGGCTAACTGCATTCCCAAAAGCTCTACACAGTGTATTCTTTAAATATACCACTAGATTTAAAGTTAATATTTTGGTTATGCATTCAAAAAACAAGAATAAACTAATAAGTTATCTATTTCAGATTTTGGAGACAGGATTATAAATTTTATTTTTCATTTTCTCTCATTTTTGATATTTTTATTGAAACATGCACAATTTATGAGGCACAGCTCAAGGAATTTTAAGTGTACATGTCCATCCTTAACTCCCCAACTGTCCCTTCCCCCATACCCCCTACCCTGCAATCATAACTTTGTTCTAAGTCTGTGAGTCTTAGGGTTGTAAATCTTAGAATTACATAGCCTTGTTTACAAAATTTAACTGAATATTTTATAGGAAGTGTGTTCATTAGTTTTTGAGCATATTGTTATGGTTTTCTGCTTTTGACGAGATTTAGGTGTGTGGTTTCAATATTTTTATCTTTCTATCCTTGACATTTAATGCATCTCAGTATTAATTTGAACCCGGCCAAAATTTTAACTATTTGCTTACATTTATATAATGAGTAAATTTCAGTTACGGGGACTTCACTGGCAGTCCAGTGGTTGAGACTGCAAGCTCCCACCGCAGGGGGCTCAGGTTCAATCCCTGGTTAGGGAGCTAAGATCCTGTGTTAGGGAGCTAAGATCCCACGTTCCATGGTGCAACAACAACAACAAAAGTGATGAGTAAGTCAAGTCTATTCATGTACTGGAAACCAAATGGACAAACATAAATGAAATGAGTCTTAGCTTAGTACTATGCAGGATTGGAGTCACTTCATATATAACAACTCACTTCTCAAAACAATCCTGTTATGTTCTTTACAGGGAAGGAAGCGGAAGAGGACAAATTACCTGTCCCAGGTCATACGGCTAGAGGCACTACGTGATGCTGAAGAATAGAATTACAACTAAAGGTTGATTTAATTACTTCAAACTGTTTTTAAACGTATGTAATCTGGAGCCTGTAACACTGTAGTAGGTTTTCAACTTCTAAAATAATAGTATTACCCCTCAGTTTAGTTCACTCAGTTGTGTCTGACTCTGCGACTCCATGGACTGCAGCATGCCACCGTGCAGCATGTTTGTTATGTATTTTCAATGTATGTATGTATTTTCAATATGTCTACACTTACTTGACTGCTTCTTCCCAGTGAGAGGTCAGGTGTTACCTCTTAAAAAATACAAAACCAACCCTGGCCAGCACTCTAGTGTATGTGTTCTTAGTGTAAAAACCAAACAAACTAGTTGACAGAATTTTATATTTTGGGGTTGACTAAGCACCTTCTGTATTAGATATATTTAAAGAATTTGTGATTTATAAACATTTGAGTAAACACTATTTGTATGAGAATATCACCTTTGCTTTCAACCTTTCATGTTTGATCTCTCAATCTACACTATCTCATTTTTAAAGAGTAGTATTCATGTGTTTGGTCTTAAGTTTTTTATCCTTCTTTCAACCTTTACTATCTCCACTGCCCATCTACCCTCCGAGAGTGGCTTGCAGATGGAGCGGCATTTTAGCCCAAACTTAAATTCATTGGAGATAAAAGGAGTTAACTGCAGGTGGTAGTCAGATTATGAGAAAACATGGCATTATGAAGGGGCTTTCTTACGGCTCTGGCAAAGTGTGCTCCATTCCTGACAGATGATGCCAGCAGGGTAGGAAGTACAGAGTCACAGAAGGGCACTGAACGTCCCAAGTAAGCAACTTGAATTCAGCTGCATACACTTTTAGAGCATTAACAGCCCATTTGGAATTTTTCAGCAGGGAGCAGGTACCCAGATCAGAAATCTGATGGTGGCCAACTATAATGGCTCAGAGGAGAACTGAGAGGCAGGCTAATGCACTGTCCAAAAAAAAAAAAAGGCTAAACCAAGGCAGTGACAATGCAGCGGGGAGGCCAAAATGTGGTACTGTTTAGAAATAGACTAGATGAGGGGACCTCCCTGATGGTCCAGTGGTTAAGACTTTACCCTCCAATGCACTGGGCACAGGTTTGATCCCTGGTCAGGGAACTAAGATCCTGCATACTATATGGTGTGGCCAAACAAATTTTTTAAAAAAGTAACAGACTAGATGAGAAAACAGTACTGAGGGGATGGAGATGAAGCAGGAATCAAGGATCCATGAAGGCTTAGAAAGGTGCTTTCAAATAAATGAACAGAACGAGAGGGAGGCCACTGGGTTCCGTTTTAAGCACTGGGAGGCAACAGTGGGAACCTCCAGATAAAGACATCCAGCAGGCGGCTTGAAATACGACCTGACGTCAGCAAGAAGTCTACCACCCACCTAGAGCTGAACTGCCCAGAACGCTTAGAAGAGCCCTCAGGACTAAATCCTCCGGAATCACATTGAAAGGAAAGACGAAAAGGAACCACTGGAGGTAGGCCGAGAGACAGGGATGAGCAGGATCCTGGGAGGAGGTGTTCAGGAGAGGGGAAAATTCGGGGTCATCAGTGCCAAACTGCCACCAGACACACGATGGAGCTCCCATTAGAACATAAGACGTCCAAGGGCCGGGATCTTGTATCACTGCTTTGTCTGCAGCGCCTACAATGTGCCTGGCTCACAGCAGCTAGTCAACTACCAGTTGAGTGAATAAAGAATAAGGACTGCATCTTAAGTGGTCACTAAACTTCGGAATTAGAAGGCACTGCTGGCCACTTTCAGGACACCCACCCCCCACCCCCTTGCCCTGTCCAACTCTACCCAAGCAGAGAACCACGGGCAAGCTGTCTCCTAGACAACAGATGTTCACACACAGTGACTCTACATTTTGCCCATGGGATAAAGGTCCTCATGTGTCAGTCTCCTTTACCCATTCTGGATGGAAGTTCTTCATAGACAGGCATCGTCTTCACAACAGGCACTCTAGAAGACTTTATGAGAAAATTTGAGCCTATGAAGGCTCTAAAGAATATCTGAATCTTATAGGTTATGCCAAATGAAGAAATCACCCCATCACTTACCTGTTTTGAGTTTTTACATCAAGCATACCTTGATTTTTTTTTTTTTTTACAGCTCCCGTCTGCAACATAGTCTTGGCAGATTTCCAGTTATATGTAGGAAGTAAAAGATCAGACTACAAAGTACCCAATTTTGTGATCATGAGCCACCCAGAAGCCATGCAGTTTCTGAGGTGGAATCCTGTCCAGACAGATAAGCTGCTCAGATCTCACATCCTACACCAGGCCATCTCAGCCAGGCTTAGCTTTCTTCACTCATCAGGCCAAGCAGGACTTGGAAAATATGCACAAATGCTTAGCACCTGGTAGGTGCTAAGGAGTAACTGATTACAAGCCTGAATTTTTCCTTCACACCATGACTCTAACAAAAATCCATCTCTTTCAGCTTCATTCAGATCTTCAGGGCTTCTCTTCCCTGAAAGAGTTCTTAAGGTTGCACATTCCTCAGGAAGTCTTCCTCACTTCAATAGATGAGTGATCCCTTCAAGCCTATCATCTCCAAATGCAACGGGCATTGCATCTCCTACTTACTCAAAACTCCACAAAGTATATTTGTTACACAGGTTATTTATTCAATAATGACTTCCTAGATTTAGTCAGCACTTGAATCATTGCTAAACTCTTTTCGTATCTCATTTGCATCACAGTTCTTCACTGTGGATTGTGAAGTCAACAGGCCAGGGTGAACCTGTCAGTCATGACTTACAATGACTGGCATGGTGCCACCATCAGAGTTCTGGGGAAATGGTTGCAGAGAAAGAGGGCGAGGATGGAGATGAGGGTCCTGAGGAAGGGTCCAGACAGGCTGCCCAGCCCATGGAAACTGAGGCCTGAATAAGGCCTGGGATCTGCTTTCCCTTCTGCCCTGAAGGGTCCATCTATGGGCGATTCTAAGGCACAGTGGTAAAGGACATGACTGGCCCACTAAGTGCGGTCCTCTGGTCCAGTGGCAACCCCTTGCCTAGGACACAGTGCAACAAGCATTCCACTTAGAAGATCTTCCTGGACACATGCAAGCAGCATTTGCTAATGGAAATGGAGACGAGGTCCTTCTTGGAAGAGAGCATCCCAGAAGACACTCTGCCCCAAGAACCAACCAGGTCCCTTATGGGTCCCTGAGAACAGCAGCCTGGGAGCAACCAAGACTTTCAGAGGCTGACAAGGCACAGAGTGGATGAATGAAAAGGTAATAACACATGGAAAACAACAGTGACAACTTTGGCTTATAAAACCTCCAACCTGAGGCAGGGACATCAGTGTCCACCAACATGCAAAACCAGACATGACCGTAGCAGATGGTTATCAGAAATGTTTTAGCATTTCCCACACTGCCTTCATCCCTCCCTCTCAGCCCCCTGGCCACACACACATACACACACACACACACACACATCTGCAGAATAAGTCAGAGGCTGGCATCCAGAGCCTGATGTCAGGACAGAACTCTTGGCACTCTGCACTAAATCACCATGATCAGTCCTATCTAGACAGCAAAAGGAGCATTGGCCGAAGCTTGAATGGCAGGATCTGTCCTAGGAGGTGTCAGGCTGCACCCAGGACTGCCAGGTCAGGAAAGTCTTTCACTTCTCCTACTTCGCTGAAAGGCTGTCCACCTTGATTGAATGTCAGCTTATACCGTAACCGGATGGGCTCCTGGGCAAAGATAAAACACCTCAAGTTAGTGGGGAGTGACAGAGAGATGGGCCCAGAGTCAAAGCCTTTACCCACAAAGTAGTCACCAAGTAACAGTATGTGTATGTTAATTCCACCCAAGTGAGGTATGCACAGGCATACCCTGGCCTCGACCCTCTGGGACTACAAACACAGAGGGAGCCAGCCCCCCACTTCGGCAGCCCTGAGGTGGAGACCAGCCAAGACGACAGGCTGGCCTCACCTTTCCAGAGGATTCCTTGGAGCTATGGAATGTGTGGACCACTTCCTTGGTCCACAGCTATGACAGTCTGGTCACAGATCTTCCAATCAGTCCCAAAGGAAAACGAAGTCCAGCAAGGGACAATCCACCAGCATCCCCACCAAACTAACACATGAATATAGTCCCGTCCGCCTGCCAGGCTGCCTGCCTGGAGCCCAGGGGCCCCCACCCCCCTGCCGGCACCGACACCAGAACGTACTTTGTGTGGGTTGTCCAGAAGCAGCATCTGAGAGATCACAGCTGGAGGTGCCAAAGGGCTGAAAGCAGGAAGCTTAGAGCTGGACGCCGGCTGCAGTTTCACGCTCATTGACTATCGGGGGAGAAACCCAACACATGACTCACTCCTAACAAACCACAGCTTTAACGAGGGGGAGCCTGGCCTCCACCCCACCAATGGCTGAACGAATCCAGAAAACCCTTCTGCCCCATCCATACAGAACATGTATCTGTAGCTGTGTGGTCAAAGGTCAGCTTCTGAGAGGCAGCATGAAGACAGACAGCACATCCTGCACTGAATTCTAACTCTGCCTCTCACTAGCTCTGTGATTCTGGACAAAACACTTAACCTTTCTGAGCCCTGGACTGATAATTTGTAAGACAGACGTAATGAGAGTCCATGCCCTACAAAATTACCATGAATACTAGAAAGTGCATAGTTTGGGGCATCCCTGGGGGCGGAATGGTAAAGAACCCACCTGCTATCGCAGTGCCAATGCAGGGAACAACCAAGCCCATGTGCCACAAGTACTGAGCCAGTGCTGGAGCCCCTGCTCCGCAACAAGAGAAGCCACAGTAATGAGAAGCCCAAACACTGCAGCTGGAGAGTAGACCCTGCCAGCCTGGATGGAAGGGCAGTTTAGAGGAGAATATACACATGTGTATGTATGGTTGAGTCCCTTCACTGTTCACCTAAAACTATCACAACATTAAGCTGCTTTACCCCAATACAAAATAAAAAGTTTAAAAAAAAGAGAGAATAGTCCCCACTTGTCACAACTGGAGAAGGCCCATGTGGAGCAACAAAGACCCAGCGCAGCCATAAATAAATTAAAAAATAAGAATAAAATAAAAATAAATAAACCTTAAAAAAAATGCACCGTTTTATTTTTGTCTGCCTTGAATCGTTCCTTTCAGAACAGGCCCCTTGCCCATTTCTTGTGATTCTAGTCTGGCTGTTAACCTGTGGGGACTGACTTCCCTTGAGAAAGGGATGTAACATCCGACTTGGCCAGAGTACCTCACATCCCTGAACATGAGCTACTGGCCCAAGGTATACCAGTTAACACCAACAAGGCCAGTCCCTGCCCTTTCTTGGGTAATCTATATGTATGCCTCATGTCAGCAGGCAGTTTATTTTGAGATAAAAAACAGTTAAGGCCCATGTAACTCTTGGAGCTGCTGGAGGCCATTTTGCTGCTTTGCGGAGACAGTCTGTGAGAGAACAGGCTCCAGAAGGGAGAAACAAAGTCAGGAGATGGAAAGTGACAGACTCTTCAGGAACTGTTTATGGACCTACCCGAACCCAGCCATCTGTGAAGGCACATATTCCGGAACCCCCAGTCAACTAAGCCAACAAAATTCCCGTTTTATCTTAATCTACTTTAAGGGAAGATTCTGGCCTTTCCATCTCGTAGATAACGTTCCCATAAAGGACCTGATGCTCAAAAACGACAGCCTTTATTGAAGAAGTCCAGGGAGCGGGCCCGCCGCTGGCTCACCTTTGGCACAGCCACTTGAAACATGATGTCCCAGACAGGCTGGGTGGCGGTGCTCATCATGGTCAGCAGGAGCACCTGCACCTCCGGGTGGCCGGGGGCTCCAGTCTGAGAAAAGTGGAGCAGAATTCTGAATCCATTCCGGTCATACACGATAAGAGGAGGCAGGCTGCCTGGCAGAGAAGGACCCAACCAAGAGGATTAGTGCTACTACCACCTCCCCCGGAAGAGCAGCCATGCTTGAAATAGATGTGCGCCTGTCACCAAGTCCTCCTCTTTGCCACTCAGAACAGCTCTTGGGCTCAACCCTCTGCACCACCATAACCCAAGTCCTCATTAGCTCCAGTGGACTCCTGTGACAGTCCAAACTGATCTCTCCCCACCATCCAACCATCCATTCATTACCAGTTAAAAAAAATTTTTCTTTAAATAACTTTTTTTGAGCAAGAAATGATTCTGATTAAAATAACATATGGGGACTTCCCTGGTGGTCCAGTGGGTAAGAGTCCATGCTTCCAATGGGGGAGGTAGGGGTTCGATCCCTAGTCAGAGAATTAGATCTCATATGATGCAACTCAAACAAAATAAAAAAGATCCCACATGCCACATGCCACATGCCACAACTAAGATCCAGAAGAGCCAAGTAAGTAAATATTAAAAAATAATGTGTGAACACCACAAAAAACACAGGATATCATAAAGGATGAAACAGAAAACCTTTACTGCTCCCCAGCAATAAGCACCACAAACATCTGGGCCTATATCCTTCTGGTCTTTTTTGTATGACAACATACACATACATATCTCTTACATTTAATCTGACAAAGCAGTAAAGACAGCAGAGCTTTTCAAATTAATCAGGTCTTGGAAATATGAAAGGGATTGTCCTAATTTAGCTAAGAAATAATTTCAAAGTTAATTTGGGGGGAAAAAGATACATGAGACTAACTATAAGAAAGGAGGGAGAGTAGGGCTATCTGCATGAACAAATACTCAAATATGGACAAAACTGCAACTCAAAACACCAAGTAAAACAGACCCAAACCTGAGAATTTAACATGTTAAGAAAGTATTTTTGAAAATCATTGGCTAATTCAGTAAGTGGTAGACAAATAGCTAACCATCTGGTAAAAAATTTCATGAAGATCCTTATCTCATGCCAAATATCACTTATCAAAATGCACATTATAAAAATACACTTTAACAATGAAACTGCCAAAGATTTAAAAGACTGAAAATATTCATGAGGTATGGTGGTGAGGTTATGGGCAAAAGGCAACCTTTCTAGAAGGCAACTTGGTAGTGAAGGTCAAAATTTTAAATGTCTACACCCAGCATTTCCTCTTTTAAGTATATTTCCTAATGAAATAATCAGGAAAGTTTTAAAAATGGGTCTCCATTTATTGCAATGAGATGTTCACTGTAATGCTGTTTACAACAGTAAACAACTGGAAACAAATTATCCTTCAGAAAGAAATTGAATAAATGAGTTACAATATATCTGTTAGTGGCACAAGTATGAATTTTTTTTTTAAAAAAATCAAGATTTTGAAGAATCAGGGCATAAAACAATGCTGTGGTTTATAACAGTAAATAAAGCAGGATATAAAACAGTATATATACTATGGTACCAATTTTTAAAATTTATGTACATGGATAAGACAATAAAATACATCAAGATATTAACAAAACTTCCATCTCTGGGTGGTAATGATACAGATGATTTTAATTTTCTGTTCTCTTCTATTTTTCCTAAAACTATACTGAACATTTTTTTGTTTTTTTTTTTAATAATTTTAGATTTATAAAAAGGGTATATGGGGAAAGAATCTAAGAAAGAATGGAGCCATATATATCTGATCCATTTTGCTGTATAGCAGAAATTAGTACAACACTGTAAATCAACTATACTCCACTATAATCCAATAAAAATTACTTTTTAAAAAACTTACAAAAAATAAAAGAATTTCCATATACCTTTCACCGAGCTTTTTCAAATATTAACATTATATATAACCACCGTACAATGATCAAAACTAGGAAATTAACACTGAACATTTATTATGTTTAAAATAAAAATTAAGGATACAAAGGGCCCCCACTGCTTGCTGACTTGACTTCCGCCTGGCTCCAAGGTCTTCTGTAATCCGAGCTCACCATACTGAGCCACAAGGGGGCTCTGCACCCAAGGAAGAGGCCCAGGCCCTAGACCTGAAGATCTGAGCTGTTTCCTGCTCACGAATCAGGGTGCTGACCACAGGGAGTCACCTTACTTAGCTGGGCCTTCAGTCTCCTTTCCTTTGTAGTAAGGGAGGTTAATATCTACGTCTCCTGCTTTAATGAGCATCCTTAGAGGAAGATGCTCACCAGTCAAATTCTTCCTTTCCTTCTAATTCCAGCTCTCCCTATTTATCTCAGGTGACACTGAACATTCCCTTCTTGAATTCCAAATGAAGATCACACCCCTATGTGGACTCAAGATCCCTAATTAAATTCTGCCTGCCAATGTGCTTCAGAGTCAACCCCATGACAGAAAACCAAGAAAAATAACAGCAAAGAGACCATGAAACCACCTGCCTTATCCTTTGCCCGGAGACAAGATTTTGAAGATTAAGGGCATGAAACAGTGCTATGGCCTAGAACAGTAAATAAAGCAGGATATAGAACAGTTTAAGCCCCCATTCACTTTCCCCAGTTTAAGAGCCACTCCCATCAGTCCAGAGTGGATAAAGCTGGGTGTCTAACAGAGAGGGAAAAAAAGAGTGAAACTGTACTTACTGGGCTTAACAGACTCCAAAGGGACAAACAGTTGAGCCAGAGGAGTGTTCTGGGAAGATGGGGAAGGAGCCAACGGGCCGGCCTCCCAGGACCAACCTGGAGAGGACTTGGTACCTGGTGGTACTTCCTTGGGGATACTTTTCTGTGGAATATAATTCCTGCAAAGAAATAATAAGACTGGAAAAACTGTAGAGAATTCTGGGAATCTGATTAGGCTTTCTAAAGAACAAGGGAAAAAATAAATATAAATGCGTGTGCCTATGTGTGTATGTACATATTTTCAGCGTATATGAGTTTAGAAAAGTAATCTAACCCATGCCTCAGTTTTCTTATCTGCAAAATGGAGACATTTTAATGTTTACCTCATAGGGCTATAATAAGAATTAAATGAGAAAGCATATGAAGTGTATCTGAGCGCACACAATAAGAACCCAATAAACTAGTTAATGTTGTCAGGCAGTCCCTGATAACAAGTAGCTGGGTGAGATGACGTTTCCCATACATGATCACCAGAGTGACCTAAGCTAGGCAGATGAGAGCACAAATTACACTGGCCACATCATTCACACTTCATGATTTTGTCCCTTTGGAACACAAATCAAAAACACTTTAGGAAAACCTAAGTCTAGAAAGAAGTAACCCACCAAAATTAAAATGTCAAGCAGTTATAAACAGCGAACTAGGAAGAAAGCCGCTAGATACAGACAAGAATGACCTCCCGGCACAGCTCCACCTCCACCCAACTTGGTGGGCTCCACCAGGGACACAGGCTCTCAGGCTGTTTGGGGAAGGCAAAGCGCTCCAGCCTTGCCAGAGGCAAAGGGACAAGATCTATGAAAACGTGTATACATTCACGCCTTAGAGCACCTCTGTGTATATAAATCTGTACTACAGAAACCCCACAGGTGCCTCCACACTGGAAATTATGTAAATATCCGCAAGAGGGAAATGACTAAGTATACATTATATGTATATGAATTATTATTCAACTATCAGAATGAGGCAAGTTTACATAAACTGATGAAAATGTATCGAAAGTGTGTGATATAAAAAACCACAGTGCGGCTTCCCTCGTGGCTCAGTGGCAAAGAATCCACCTGCCTTCCTGCCCCAGGGCCCGTGCTCTGCAATAAGAGAGGCCACCACCACTAGAAAAAAGCCAGAGCGGCAATGAAGACCCAGCACAGCTAAAAATGAAATTATTTTTAAAAAGTTAAAAGAAAAACAACCCATAGCATAGTATAATCTGTAAACTATAACCTCACTTGTGTAAAACAAGCCACATATTATATGTGCAGGAAAAAACAAAGAAGGAGCATTCAACCTCATCTTTAGAGTATGGTATTCGGGACTGTCTATATGATCTATTTCTCTAGTGATCAAACATTGCTTCAAACTACAGTGAAATCGGGAAAACAGAACCTATAAAGACCAAAAACATCATCATTAGCTACCGCTGATGTTACTCCCGAAACCCCTTTCCAGAGGTCCTGGCCAAAACGCGTGTTCCCCTGACTCGGGATGGATGGGGAGTAAAGGCCCGGCCACCTGCACCCAGGAGCAACTCTTCCCAGCTCCTTGCCACAGACTCACCGAGATCCCGGAGGCGGCTGTGGGGACAGGAGGTCCAGCAGGTTCCTTTCTGCAGAAGGGCTCTGAGCGCTGCCAGCTGGCAGCGCGCTGCTGGTGGGGTGCGTCTTTTCCGGACAGCAATTCTGCCCTGCAACCTGCTGAACCAGGGATGGCGAAAGTAAGGGCAGCGTGGAATGAGTGTGAGCCGTGGCGACACCTGGGCCCAGCTCTCCTGACCCTAAAGCTACCGCAGAGCAGGCTAAGCACGTGTCCTCAGGCAGGTGGAGAAAGGGCGAGAGGGGGTGACTCCTGAGCAGACCTTTGGGAAGCCAGAGTCTGGATACAACGCAAGAGGGCAGGGATAGAAGGAGAGCAAAAACACGGCTCCCTCCAGGGGTTCAGGCGAGACAGCGGAAGTGAGGAAGAGGCTTTGGACCTCTGAGGCCACAGGAGCCACCAGGCTATGCTGTCACCCTCCAACCTCCCCTGGGTGGCGCTGCCTTCACGAAGGCAGGTTTGAGGGACCTCCCCTCTCCTCTCCAGCCCCCAGGAAGAGCCTCCTTACCTTGCTGGTAACTGGGGCATCACTGATTCCTGCAAGGGAGGAACAGAGTGGAGACGCACATCAGTAACTCTACCTGATACAAGCTGGAGACTTGATGCCATCCTTTCTAGAACACTTACAAAGACTAGACAAAGCAAATTACTGGAACTCATTCAACTCATTTATGGCAAATCTGAGACTGGGTACAAGGAAGACCTCTCTGAACTTCCCAGTATAACCCAATTCTTTCTAAAAACAGGCATACACTCCTCAAAGGGAATGGGCTTGCTCTCTCCCTGGGAGTCAGGACCAGTCTGTGCTGGCTACCCCCAGACAGTACCCTTACCTAAGGCTGCCAGGTCCTGATGCAGTAAAGACGGCGCCACTGTCCCAGCCTGCTCAGACCCATTGTCCTCCAGGTCAATCAGCGGGCAGTTCTTCATGCAGCCTGTTGGATTCTGAAAGACTAGAAAACAGAAAAATAAATGAGTGAAGGCTCCACTTCCCTCAGGCCTCCTCCCAATCAAAAGACATCACACGGTCCCCCCTTAGCACACCCCTGAAGAACCTTCCACCTCCACGGACTGGCTTGACTCACACCCTCGAGTGGCATCTGAAATACGAGGCAGCCAGAGGAATTGCCTTCCCATCCCCACTATCACAGAATCCTCTGATGGTCCATCCAACCAGGATAGTAGCAGAGCAGACTGCTCCAGCTCAGAGACCTTTGAGATCTTGACCACAGCTTATAAGAATCATCTCGAGCGCTTGATAAAAATTTGGGGCCTAGCTCCAGGTAATCTTGGTTCAGAAAGGTCTAAGAATCTGCATTTCAACCACTGTTATAGACCGATTCTGACTTAGCTAGCCTGGCACTAGGAGCCACTGATGGTCAATCTTCTTTGGTGCATAGCTCCCCTAAGTAAGCACTCACGAGAGGCACAATCTGAACCTGGGCACGGAATAGCCACACACTTCTGTTTAAAAGCTAGTTGCTGCCCAGCAGTCAATCCATGATGGCATGTGGAGCAGAGGCTGGCTACATAAAACCAGTTCTCAAGGGAAAGGGAAGAGAGGGTGTGTGCTCTCATATCTACACCATAACCCAGAATGTTCCGAGGAGTCAGTTCTTTGCTGGGATTTGCAGGCCACCCCAAGGCAGAGGGCGGAAGAGGCTCTCTGCACATACCTCTGGACACAGGTATGTCTCCCACAGAGCTGGCCACTGTGTTCCCGAAGGTGACACGGCCCTCCATCACCTGTTTGTACAGCAGAACTCCCTGGGTGAGGAGGTCATTTGCCTGGAGAATCTCCGCTGAAGAACGAGAGAAAAATCAGAATCCCCCGGTGAGCAGCCAACAATCTCAGGCTTTTTAAGCCATCCACAAAGCGGCAACCACACAGCTCTACCAGCTTCAGTATGGCCATGCCTCCTGCCCGCAGGTCATGAGATCACGCCCCTGGCAGACACAGTCACTCAATCGCTGGACGCTTCCTCCTCAAGTTGGAGGAGGAACCAAATCTTTGAACTTTCTTGGTCTGTTCTGCCCAATGTGACAGCCAACACTTGAAATACGGTCCTTTCAAATGAGGAACTAAATCTTTAACTTCGTTTTAATTTAAAATTTAAACTTAAAGCTCCTTCGTCAATATGCAAATATTAAAAGACATTTTTGGGACTTTATTCAGTCATTGGAAAGTCTGTAAGGAACAATTTGGTACATGAATCTACTTTTTCACCTGTAAATTTCATAAAATCTAAATACAGATCAAGCATTCCTGATGAAAATTGGATATCCAAACTGAAACATCCAAATAAAAAATGCAGTGGATTTCAAAAATGTCAAGGGTATCTCATGGTCTGGTTTACCTGCAAGAAAATCTCTCCTGGGAGAGAGAGAATAGCAACAGGGGCAGGGGCTGTAACACTGCAGGCCACCATGCTAGGAAAAGCCTTCAAGAGTGACCAACTATTAATTTCCTATCAATTTTTTAACTGAATGGAAGTGAACACACAAGAGGCTGAATGTTGTATTTGGCATGTGCAAGGTGTTTTAAATTTCATTTTGACTTCACTGTAACCAGAGAAAATAACAGGCTTTGAATAATTACATCATTAAAAACCCCCAAAAAACCAGACACCATGGGCCTCATAACATCACCTATGATGTATTCTTGTTCCTTCCCCACACACCTTCATTTGAACCTGAATCTGAACAAGCCTCCTGATTCAATTGATAAGAAATCAGGAATTTCAGAAATATCAGGAATGGAGGAACATTAAACACCATGGGAGATGCCATGAGAAAACTGAGACCAAGAGAAACTCTGTAAGTCAAAGGACATGTTTTTCATGCATGAAATTAAAAAAACAACAACAGGAGGCTAGCCACTTAAATACCAAGCATGGTTTTCCTTTCTGGTTCTGATTTAAAACTTTAAAAAAAAAGCGTCAGCAAGAGATGATTAGAGACAGAAATGCCCAGGAAAATCTGAACACTGATAGATTACTCCGAAATGTTTGGAATTTGCTTAAAAACAGATCTGGGGGTGTGGGGAGGGGGAGGACAGAGGGAGAGTGCAGTACAGGTAAAACAAGATCAAGACTGACTGTGAGCTGGTAACTGTGAACAAAAGGGGAAGAGGACATGGAGTAGAATCCCTTTTATGCATTCTGAGATCTTCCATTAAATAAAAAGCTTCAACCATTTCTATACTTGTGTACAGGATTATAGTTCTTCCATGTGCTTTTCACTCCACACTGACTACCTCGCTGAGGCTCCCAACCCAGCCCCTGAAGTCATGCTGGGTGTGAAATCTCCCAGACGTGCCCCTCGCAGCTGCTTCTCAGACCTCTCAGAGGTCAGTCTTTCTGCAAGTCTTCTGTGGGAGCTGCTCTTCCTTCTACCCCCTTCACACCCAACTGACATGGTAAACCTCCACCCTTTCCTATGCTTGCAGACCCGCTGCTCACTTCTTGCTCAAGCCTAGATTCCTCCGAAAATTACAAGAATCAACTCAGGCCATGCCATCCCCAAGCACAACCACCGGAACACCTAGAAGCCACCGTCGAGTTTCCACGTCAGCAGCACAGAGGAAGTCCCACGGCAGTCAGAGAGCCCCACGCGGGTCCTACACTCTGCGGAGTGCGCAGTCTACGCCTGGAGGATAAAACCGTACCGAGCGCCTCATCGTCGTCGGTGGTGTCACTCGCCAGCCGGAACAGGGTGGGCCGCAGCTTTTCACACCTCTCATACACGACCTAAAAAACAGTTTGTTACATAAAACTCTCAGTAAGTGCGTTATAAAAAAAGAAGGATCTCAAGATGTGTAAATGTGGAGAAATGGGAACTCTGAAACACTGCTGTCACAAACACAAAATGATACAACCACTCTGGCACTTTTTAAAAAGTTGACTATACACCCAGCATATGACCTAGCAATCCCACATTGAGGCGTTTATCCAAGAGAAAGGAAAACGTATGTTCACACAAAACGGTTCTGAACACAAATGTTTAGAGCAGCATAATCACCTGAAGCTGCAAGCAACCCAAATACCCATCAATAGACAAATGGATATGCATATTGTGGTACATGCAAACCACAGTTTCTCCAAAGGAGAGAACCTAACCACCCCTCTGCCCCACAAAAAAGGCAGGGGTGGAATATTGTATCATTCCATTTATATGAGTCTAAGAAATGTAAATTAATCAGCAGTCTTTCTCAGGCGTGTCCAACTCTTTGCAGCCCCATGGACTGTAGCCTGCCATGTTCTACTGTCCGTGGAATTTTCCAGGCAAGAATACTGGAGTGGATTGCCACTTCCTCCTCCAGGGGATCTTCCCGACCTAGGGACAGAACATGTGTCCCCTGCATCTCTTGCATTGGCAGGTGGATTCTTCACCACAAATGCCACCTGGGAAGCCCCAAACTAACTAGAAGGGAAAAAACAAACCAGTGGTTGCTTGGGAGAGGAGGAGGAACAGAAGGAGGAGAATGAGGAAGTTTGAGGGGGTGAGGAACACGCTCATTATTTTGACTATGTGAGGGCTTCTTGAAATCTGTGCATATTCTTAATATGTCAGTCATACTGAGTCCTCCCCAACTTTGTTTTTGAAGAGTACCTGCAAGGCTGCCTGGTCTGGCGGGGCCTGTCCTGGCCTGCGGTACGTGCTCAGCATTTCCTGCAGCACCTTCACGTGGCTCCGAACTTCCTCCACAGCACTGACCCTCTTGGACACCTTCTCTGATTTTTCTTGTTCCTTTCGGGAGAAAGAGGATGAAGTGAGGGACAGATGCTCTGGATAAAGCTTGAATGTCCACCGGGAGAGGCATGCTGTACTGTGCAAAGCTCAGGGAAGCCTCCAAAACACAGAGTGGGTGGAGCGTTCACTCAGCGGGCAAGAAGATGCTCAAGGTCTGGAATTCCTGGGACAGACAATGGGGAGCATGTGTCCACTCTATCACCAGCCTCTATCCCCCTGGAAAGGAAATTCCCACACCTGGATTCTTTCCACACCAACACTGGTCACTGAGACAGAAACTGGGGTCTGTGAAATGCTTTGAGCTCTTGGACAGAAGTACTTGGACGCACACAGAAGTTTCTGCTTCCAGGCACCACCATGCTGCCCTTCAGGGAGCTCACAGCTGTTCCCTGGTTCAGGGCTAGGCAGCTGTCTCTTCTTCCAGCTAACGTGCTCCCTGTGCCCCCCACCCTCAATCAAACACACACACACACACACAGACACAGACACACAGACACACACACACACACTGTCCCTGCTGCCAAGGTGCTTCAGTCGTGTCCGACTCTGAGACCCCATGAACTATAGCCCACCAGGTTCTTCTGTCCATGAAATTCTCCAGGCAAGAATACTGGAGTGGGTTGCCATGCCCTCCTCCAGGGGATTTCCCTACAGTATCCAGCCCCTCTCAAATGCTGGTTCTGCAGAACCCCCTGGAAAATGCCCACCTCCTTGACCAAATTCTTGATCAGCCGGTTTGCAGCCTGAAGATCCTCAGGATGGTTGCTCTTCAGAAGCCTTGTCAGAAGCTGGAGAGAGAACAAGACTCGGTGAAACTAATTCCCCGGGTCAGATGGCCCAGAGCAATAGCACCAGCAATAGCAGAATTACCCGTCACAACAGCTCACACATTTAAACGCATTACCTTACCAAATCCTCACGATGACGCAATAATTTAACAATCGTGACATTCCCCAAAGAACACTGGTGTTTCGACAGGGAATGGACATGGATGTCCCGGGAGACATCTGGCCAAGTCTGCAGACATTGTCGGTGGTCACAACTGGGGGCAGTACTGACATCCAGCGGGTAGAGGTCAGGGACACCTATACACCCCACCTCACAGTGCGTGACAGCCCCCAACAAGGAAGTTAACTGGCCCACAATGTCAGCAGTGCTGAGGCAGCCTTAGACCACATACTCTGATGTGAGAGACCTCGAGAATTTCATCCACGTTGCTCCCAATGCCTAGCAGAATGCCTGACATGCACTCAACTCTTCATTGGATGGATGGCAAGAAAGACGGAGAGCCATCTTTCTGAGCACCGCAGAGTCTAAGCAGCTGGCCCAAGCTGACACCAGACTGACTTTCTCAGGAGTCCATGCCACACCTCCTCCCCTGCTCCTTCTGAGGCCCCCACAGGAGGGGAGCCAGAGAGAAAGCCACCCAGAACCTAGCACAGCCCCACTCATCCTGCCCACAGCGAGCACCTAGATCCAAGGGAAGAGGACAGCTGACAGGTGCGGCTGGAAGGCAGAGGGTACCGGAAGAGACCCATCCTCGGACTACAGTCTTCCTGGTCCTATACTCGCCAGACCTTGTCAGCGACCAAGAACAGTAATGACCAAAAGCACTGCCACCTTTCAGAGGTACCCTGGAGTTATCCCCGAGTCTTGGCCTAGGTTTGGACCACCTTGCTTTTCCCTCCCCTGTCCTTAATGATGTCTGAGGAGCAGCAATACTGGAAGGAAAACGGGTGACATCGGCCTTATGGATGCTTTTTCTTTTGATCTGAGCCAACGTGCAACCCATGCTTTCCTCCCCACTCCCCTCCCCCAACACCACACACACTCTGGATATGACCGACCCCCCACACTACCCACTAGGGATGGCCTTTCGTACCTTCTTTCCCTTGGGAACACTGACGGATAAGGTGGAAGACCCAAAGAATAGGTCACTTATTTGACCTGTCCGAGAAGAAGACATACAGACCCTACGACACCTCTCTCTGCTCCAGAGAACTCACCCCACCTCCCCACATGCCAGTTCAGATCAGAGGGTACCGGAGAGGAGTCCCTCGAAGAAGAGGTCGGCTGAGACTGCAGGTTGGCTCCGCGGTCAGGCAAAAGCTCCTTACCTTTGACTTTTCTTCATCAGCATCAAAGATGGAGCTCTTGGGCCAGGGAGAGGGTGGGGGCAAGATTTTATCCACTGGAAGTTTAGGGTCTTGCTTTATGATTCCTAAAAAGATCCAATTCATGGATATGCTGATGTGAGTACTTGCCGACTTCAGCAGGACCCAGTATAAAGTCCAGAAACCCCTGGCTCCTGGTCCCCCAGCAGGAAGACACTGTCAGCAACCTTACAGGGAAACACCCAGGGCGCGAGCAAGGCTCTGCATCCTCTCCTGGAGAATCCCCAGCCGGGGACGCTCAGAGGAGAGGCGGACCCTGAGACCAGCAGTCTGTGGTCCCCACGCTGTACAAGTACTGACCACTCTATGCAGGCACACAACCCCTCAGGGCCCAGAAATCAGTGCGGGGTCTTTGATGCTCATAAAAATACTGGGTGCACGTGACAGGGGAAAAAAGAAAACAGCCCACCCTAAATCCGGTTCCTCCCACAGAGCCTGAGACAGAAGGAACGTGGACTCCCAGAACACACTCTGGAGCTCGCTTCACAAAAGGGACAGGCTCATTCTCCAAGGGCGTCACAAAAAGAGAATGGGGAAGGCCTGAGGGCCCACCGAAATCCTTCTCTCCCCAGAGAGAAGCCTCACACTGCCGGGGGAAGGACAACACACCTGCGGTCCTTAGAAGAGTGGTGAAAACCTATGGCAGCTGGAAAAAAAGAACAGAAACGCCTGCACCCCTGGGGGAGGGACCGCAACGTGTCCTGGCCCCAGCCAGAGATGGGGTGGAACAGGATCACAAACAAGTCCCTCCAGGACCAGGGACACAGGCCTTCCTAAGACTGAGGCTTAATCAGAACAGAACCACCACTAGCACCAGGCGAAGGGCATCAAGGAACAAGTAGTAAGGATCTACTGTCAGGACAGGCAATGGAATAAGAACTCTTCTGAGATGCAGAGCAAGAGGAAGACCCAAAGCTGAGAGCAGAGTAGATGCTGCGAGAAACTCTCTAGGCGATCAGCCCCCACCTCAAACACAAGCCAACACCAAAGGAATCTGAAACCTGTATCGTAAGGGTAACTACAGCAACAAGCAGCTCAAACCCAGCTCAGCTCCCGCTGAGCCACACGGGAAACCCAAGGACCCTGGACTGGCTAGGCTATCCTTCGCCAGCGGACTTTCCTGGCCCAGGAACTGGGCCGGGGGCTCCTGCTCTACAGGCCGATTCTTTACTAACTAAGCTATCAGGGAAGCCCCGCCTCCTGCTAACCAGAGGAAAGGCCTGCCCACTTCCAGGGATTGAAATGACTTGCATCAGCCTCGATTACTGTATCGACTGGACACAAGATCTCCAGCTTTCACCCCAAAACGACAAACTGTACCGAAAAGCAAGAAGGAACCACCACTGTGGGAAGGGAACGCAATGCAGTCAGACCTTGTTTCTTTAGCATCTGATAAGCATCTCGGATCTTGATGTCCTCTGGAAACCAGACTGTCCAACTGAAGAGTATTTCAATGATTCTTCCTTTAACTTTTTCTGTAGCCCAGGAGCCTAGGTACTGAAGATAAAAAGGAAAGGGAATTACTGAGCTGAAGGGCCTTAGTGAGACAGGAAAGGATGGCAGGACATAACCTTCAAAGAATGACACAGATGTTCAGGACATAACATAAGCTGGTCAGAAGTGATTAGGCGCAAGATGGTGGTAAGATTCGATTTCTAGTAGACCTTGAGCTTTATTACACGCTCATTGTAATACATCAGCTAACGACACACACAGCCATGACAGTCCCAAGCCTGACCATAAAAGGACAAAAAGAGAATAGTGGCCCAATTCCTGGAAATCTCTACCCCGCCTTTCGTAAAATAGTTGGACTAATCCTCCCACTTGTTACCCTATGAAATTACTGACCCCATAAAAACTACCCCATATTTAAGGGCTACTCTCATCTTCTGAGACAAGCCTGCATTCTATCTATGGAATGCATCTCTCTACAAACAAATCTGTTTTCCCACTTAGTTCTCAGGACAGAGCCCCCTTGCCTGCCCACTTGCAACCCTCACAAGCATTCTATATTAATAAATCTACTTAGCTATACTTTGCCTCTTGCTGAATCCCTTCTGTGCTGAGACATGAAGAACCTGAGCTTCACAACGTCATGTGGCAGCTCAGATGAGAGTGGGGTTTCGGGGAGAATGGATGCATGCATATGTAGGGCTGAGTTCCTCTGCTGTTCACCTGAGACTCTCACAACATTGTTAACCGGGTATACCTCATTACAAAATGTTTTTGGTGTAAAAAAAATTAAAACAAACAAAAAGAACCTGAGCTTCAGTAAGTCCGGATTGTGGGGGCTTCTCTGGTGGTCCAGTAGCTAAGACTCCATGCTCCCAGTGCAAGGGGCCTGAGTTCCATCCCCAGTCAGGGAACTAGATTCCACATGCCGCAGCTAAGAGCTGGTGCAGTCAAATTTAAAAATAAAAAAAAGAGAGAGACAGTGGGTTTTAATCCCAGCCCACAGGTTCAAGTCTCAATCTAAGTTTTGGATGGGTTCAAATCCCATCTGAGTTGGGCAGTTTCATTAGTAGACTGCTCAGCCCACAGTATCACCGAAGAGATGGCAGCTGAGAAGCAAACCACTCAAGGTTGGTTGAGAGGTGAGGCACAGAGATAGGACAAATTATCTGGCACCCAGCTCTGGCACGCTTTCTGGGCTTCAAGGAGGCAACCTCCAAAGCCCCACCATATACTGGCCTAGGTTAGAGCCACTGGGGGCACTCATTTTTTTGAGTGTAGAGTAAAAATATATTTGGAATGAAAATAAGGTAAAGTGAAAGGAATTGCTGAAACTCAAAATGTTTTGAATCATTATTTCTTAAAAGATCCTCTTAAGAAATCCCTGGTGGTCCAGCGGTTAAGAATCCGCCCACTGATGCACGGAACACGGGTTTGATCCCTGCCCAGGGAAGATCCCACATGCCACGGGGCAACTAAGCCCGTGAGCCACAACGACTGAGCTCACACGATGCAACTACTGAAGCCTGCCCGCCCTGGAGCCCATGCTCTGCAACGAGAGGAGCCCCACAATGAGACGTGCGCACATCACAAGCAGAGAGGAGCCTCTGCTCGCCACAGCCAAGACACAGCACAGGCGGAAATCAATACTACCACTACTAATGAAAGATCCTCTTAAAATCAATAAAAGGATTTATTAATCCTCATAAATAAAAGAATACTTATATATATAGTTTCCAAAATATGTGACCCTTCTCCTCAGTTCCTCCTGGCACAGAACTTCAAAGACCCTTGGAATTTCCTAAGTGATAGAAAGGTCTTTGTTACTTACAAGTCCCCCCCAGGGACTATACCCAAGCTTATGCTAAACATTCCTGGTGGACACATAGTTTCAAGGGAGGGACTGACCATGTGATTAGAGAATTGGAACTTTCAGCTCCATCCTGACCCCGGTAAGAGGAGGGAGGTTGAGTTCAACCATGTGGCCACTGATTAACTCAATAGTGCCCAGGTAACTCCAAATAAAAACTCCAACCACCAGGTCCAGAGAGCTTTCTGGTTGAACGTAAGATGTGCTGGGAGGGCGGTGTGCTCAGGCTCCACAGGATATAGCATGCAGAAATAGTTCCCCCTTCACCCTCAAGATCTTGGCCTATGTGTCTCATTTATATCCTTTAAAATAAACGGGTATTACTAAGTATAGTGCTTTCCTGTATAGTTCTGTGAATCTTTCCATCCAGTGAATTAGGCAACCTGGCAGAGAGGGTCAGAGGAACCTCTGAACTAGTAGCCGGTCGGGCAGAAGTGCAAGTAGCCTGGGGATCCCCGAGACACATGAAAGGTGTCTGAAGTGGACGTAGTCTAGGTAGGGCCGAGCTCTTAACCTGTGAGGTCTTAGTGACACCCACAGTGGGTGGCACAGAGCGGGGTCAGGCCCAGGGCGCTCACCTTTGGGGACAGCACTTTGATGAGCTCGTTCAGGAAGCGGAACTTGGCCACCTCGTTGTGGAACTTCTCCCCACAGTGGTTCACACACGTCTCCAGCACCTGCACAGACACAGGACCCCAGTGAGAAGGGGAAGCCATCGGCTCCAGAGCTCATTCCAAACCTGGAACCATGGCTCAAGACTGAGGACACTAAAGTTTGGGAGAAAGGGTGAGACTTTCAGATTAAGTAAAAAAGCACTTGCTTGCTCTTGTTGTAACTGACAGGTTTGTGCCCAGGAAACCACTCGGTGGGGGACTCTGAGGTCACCCCACCTTTCATGGAGACCCTTTGGGCAGGTGAAACTGGTCAGAGAATCACTTCTTTCTTTCTCTTAGAGGCAGAAATCAGACATGGAATACTCAAGAACTGTCAAACTATGGGTTACCTGCTGGCATTCCAGTGACAAATTTGGCCTGTAAATGTTTTCTCTGGTCCACACCATTAACATTTCAAATCAGTCACTGATACGGAAAAATTCTGAGACTTCATCTGGATTTCCGGTTTCTCTTAAACAGGAAGTTCTAGCAACAGTGGGCCCAAACTCATCCCCAGCAATAGCCAGCAGGTCCTGCTGTGTAGCTGCCCTCTTTAGACTGGACATGGTCTCTCTGGCTCTTTGGTTCCTCCGGTAGGTGGCTCACTCACTTATGTCACCAGTCTGGTCCTGAGGGCACTTGACCTTGCCAGCCCTGGTCTAACAAAGGCAAAAGGAAATAAAGCCTTCCTTTCCTTCCTGCTACTCTCCAGGAACAGATCTAGAATGGGGCAATCTGAGCCCAGAACTCCCTCTAGCCTGCTTTCTCAAGGCCAGGAAAGGTGACCCTCTCAGAGGCTTCTTTCCCACACTGAAATGCTAGCCTTGGGACAGGAGAGCTAAGGCTGAGGGGCAAGCCAAACTCACCGTTAAGGCATAAAGAGCTTCTTTCTCTTGTGGAGACTGGATCTTGTGGGCCAGCAGCCAGGGTGCATGGGTTGAGCTAAGGGAAAACAAAGACTCTGAGCAGAGAGGAACATACTAACTGGTCTGGCTGAGCGTGCTCGGTCAATTCCCCTCTCCCGCAGGAGCTTGGGTCCCAGAGCAGAGATGGGATGTGACTGCACATGACCATGCATGAGCCCCCGAAGGAGGCTGGCTCCCAGCCACCCCCACATCTCACAGCTACGCTTCCAGAACACTCCATCCTCTCCCCAGTCCACCTACCCCTACAGCTCCCAGACCTGTATGTAACTTGGTCTCGAGCAGCACAGACCCTATTTGTCATTTGAGAACTGCTCAGTCAACCCTGGAGCAGAAAATGTAATCAAACTTCCTGTTCCTTTCAAAATGAATATTCAGCAACATGGAGATAAAATATTTGGATAACTGACTCATTCCTTATGTTCCTATCCAGGGGACTTCCCTGGCGGTCCAGTGGTTAAGACACCACACTCCCAAATGCAGGGGCAGTTTGATCCCTGGTTGGGGAACTGAGATCCTGCAGGCTGTGCTTCATGGCCAAAAAATAGGTGGGGAAAAAAGTTCCCATTCAGACACTTCAGAAACCAAATTCAATAAAATCTTCACCTCTCTTCCTCTGCTTTTTCTTAAAAAAAGACTGTATTTAAATTAGCTTAACAAGCTTCCCTGGTGGCTCAGTAGTAAAGAGTTCGCCTGCAATGCAGGAGATGCAGGTTTAATCCGTGGGTCGGGAAGATCCCCTGGAGAAAAAAAATGGCAATCCACTCCAGTGTTTTTGCCTGGGAAATCCTATGGAGAGAAGAGCCTGGTGCGCTACATGGGGTCGAAAAAGAATCAGACACAACTTAGTGACTAAACAACAACAAAAGCATCTACTGTGGCTCTGAAAGTGACATTCAGACACATGCTGCTAAATATAGTATAATCTTCAAATAAAAAAAAATTTTTAATAAGAGCATACCGATCTTTCACATTACTATGTACCCTGGCTACATTCTATCCCTAACATTCAGAGAGCTCCTCAGCAGTAAAGTTTCATAAAAATTATTTTAAAATTTTAAACTGTGTTACAAACTTTTTTTTTTTTAGGAAAACTACATAAATTTGCAATTTCTAGAAAAATAACATACTCGATAGATCATGGAGGGAGGAAAAAAGAAACAAAGCCTGAGCTATGTAAAACAGTCCTGAGAAACACAGGCACGCACAGTCTGAGGTGCCCATAGGTGCAGGGTGTGTGTGTGATGTCACCTTACCCATTGGGATCAGTGTTCACTTGGTCACAGAAATTCTGGATAGCTGACCAATCCTGTTCTGACATGCTTGGGTCTGTGGCTTTATCTGTCAAGGAAATAAAAAGTAAAACTGAAGGATAATAAAGGATAATAAAAAATATACACCTCTCCACATCTCCACCCCTCAAATAGGACAAGAGCCAAGGACTATGATATCATACCTCCCGAGGACGGGACCCAGCAAAGCAGACAGCTTGGGGGGGGGGGGTCGACCGTACTCATCATTGTCAGGCACGGGTATGGCCCATGACTCAGGGACTGCTGACCGCACGAACGAGCAAACCAGTTAACAAGCTACTGTCCTGAAAGGGGCTCCATTCCTAGTGCAGGTGTTGGCTTACTTGCACCTTCTTTATGCCCATGTTGACCCCCCACCGCGGCCCTGCAACAAGGACGGGCACAGGCCAGCATCTATGCATAGGCCACAACCTGCAAGGTTCTTTTTTATTTTTTATTTTCATCTTTTTGGCTGCACTGGGCTTTCTCAAGATGCAGCATGTGGGCCTGGCTGCTCCATGGCATGTAGAATCTTTCCGGAGCAAGGATTGAACTCGCGTTCCCTGCACTGGCAGGCGGATTCTTAACCACTGGACCACCAGGGAATGCCAAGAACCTGGAAGCTTCTCAGCCATGTGACAGGAAGACCAGAACTTACAGTGAAGCCCTGAGCAGCTCCCACCATATCCCCGAAGTAACAGGCTGAAACCTGAGCCTCCACTCACTGCAATCCTTTGTCCTACCTAAGCAGCTTCTCCACGTCAGGGGCTTATACTGTCTGACAAGAGGACCTCCTTGCCTTTGGTCCTCAGAATGCCGTTTCTCTTTGCTACCATCCACATATGCCCAAGGAACCCAGATCAAGTCACACCAGGGTCTCCCCCACTGAACACTGCTATTTGTATGAAATCAGGATATGCAGCATGAAGCGTACCAGGGCACAGCCCAGAGCAGGAAACACCTGGAGAAAGGGGGCTTATCAGAAGGCCTAAGAAGAGCCCACGCTCCACTGAGGGGTGGGGCAATCCCTGAGTTCCTGGAATCTTTGTGTGACTCTTTCCTGGTGCTAGATGGTAGCAGCTTCTTCCTCCCCTCCCACTGCTGCCGCCTAGAATCCCTGTCCCAGCAAGGATGCCCATTCCATAGGCCCAGCCTTCCAACTGAAACAAGCCACACTCTCATAAAGTAGTTGCCGAGACTGTCTTTGTCCTGCCCTTTCATAACATTTCCCCTACTCCCCACTGTCCAGCTTATCCTGGACCACCCGCCTCTCCAATGAAACTTCTTAGTGGTCCTGACAGAGAAGCTCTTTCAAACTCTGCAAGTAAGTAATTCTTATGGTCATACTTCTGACACTATTCCTTTTGCCTGAATGTCCACTTCTCTCTTCTCTATCCATTCCCAAGGTCATTCTGAATCTCCATCTGCTCCCAAAAGCCTCCTCCACTGTCCCAGCCCTGACTAATTCTCCTCCCTTCTGATTACTTAAGAGTCTACAGGGGCTTTCCTGGTGGTCCAGTGATTAAGAATCCACCTCCCAGTGCCGGGGAAACAGGTTCGATCCCTGGTCCAGGAAGATCCCACATGCTGCAGAGAAACTAAGCCTGTGCAACTACTGAGATTGTGTTCTAGAGCCCAGGAACCACAACCAAGGAAGTCCATGGACTTAAAGCCTGTTCCCCGCGACAAGAGCAGTCACCGCAATGAGAAGTCTGCACGCTGCAACTGAGGAGTAGCCCCTACTCACCACAACTAGTGAAAGTGCTCATGCAGCAAGGAAGACCCAGCACAGCCAAAAATAAATAATTAAAATTAAAAAAAAAAAAAGACTCCACAGTCAACTAGAGTTTACCTTTCCAGACAGTAGTCACTTTTATGTCACGGGGAAGTCGTGTGCCCCTAGCTCAACAATGAGATTCAAAGGACAGGTACTCAATCCCCCACCTTCCCACCCATGCCACTTCATAAGGACTTTCTTAATCTATCACCCACCCCCACCCACAAAACAGAAGCCATCTCTTCCATCTCAGAAGACCCACATCCTACCTGCTCTTTTAGGATGGGGATCTCCAGCTCCATCCTTTATTAGCTACATGCCATTGGGCTCTCAGAGCCCCAGTTTTCTCAACTATAAAATAAGGAAAACGGTACCTTCCATGTGGGATAGTCATGAGATTTTTAAAAGATAGTGTCTAGGGCTTCCCTGGTGGTCTACTGGTTAGGACTCCATCTGCCTACAACTACTGAGTTCACATCCTGCAACCACTGAAGCCTATGCACCTCGAGCCCAAGCCCCGCCACAAGAGAAGCCACTGCAACGAGAGGTCCACGCACCGCGACCAGAGTAGCTCCACAACTAGAGAAAGCCTGCAAGCAGCAATGAAGGCCCAGTGTAACAAATGAATGAATGAATCTTAAAAAGAAGATAGTGTCTGAAATACTCAGTGTAGCAGCAAACATTAAGTAATCAATAAAAGACAGACAATCTTGTAACAGTCTCTGTGTTTTCCTTTAAAAATATGTAAACACACACACACAAAAAAATATGTACACAACTTAGTACACTTAAACTTCAAGTCTGTTCAAGACAAAGGTAGAAGCGCTATGCTTCCTATAATGCTTGGTACAGTGCCTTAGACATAGGCTCAAAATAATTACTCAGAAAATAAACTGAAAGCAGTGACGCTCAAGAGCCTGATTAAGGAGACCTGACTCTACCATACAGGGACCTCTAACTCAATGCTCTGTGGTGACCTAAAGGGAAGGAAATCTAAAGAGACTCGATATATGTACATGCGTAACTGATTCACTTGGCTGCAGCAGAAACTCGCACAACACTGTAAAGCAACTAGACTCCAATAAAAATTAATGAAAAAAGGAGATCTGACTCATCTGAACTACTTCTTTCTGTATCATTAAAACTTCATAAAGCTTCAGTTCACGACAAGGTCAAGCTTGACACCTAAAAGACTTTCAGACCTCAACACACGACTTTGTGACAGCAGTTCCCCAACGTTTTGGACACCAGGGGCCAGTTTCATGGAAAATAATCTTTCCACAGATGAGGAGGGGGTGGGGTGGGGGAGGTGCTTTCAGGATAATTCAAAGGCGTTACATTTACCGTCTGCACCCATATGAGAATCTCATACCACCACTAATCCAACAGGAGGTGGAGCTCAAGCAGTAATGATGATGGGGAGCAGCTGTAAATATATTAACAGATGAAGCTTCACTCGCTCACCCGCCGCTCACCTCCTACTGTGCAGCCTGGTTCCTTACTTGCCGCAACCTGACCGGTACCGGTTTGTGGCCCGGGGGTTGGGGACCCAGTGGCAGAGAAGAGCAAGTAGGACCCTGTTTACCAAGAAGAATCCAGCTCTCTCCCTCCTCCCCTACCACCAAGTCACCAGGTTTTCCAAAGGAAGGAAGGGAATAAAAAACTTTACAAGCTTAAATAATGTTCTAAACCCATAACCAAGGCAAAGCAGCAAAAAGCACTATAAAGTAAGCATTTTTATTTGCTGTATCTATATCATAATGGTTCCCTCAAGGTTTTTCACAGCTCCCAAATAACAACAATAATAGTCAGAGCTGCTGCTCCCCCCCACACACACACTTTGTTTTTTAAGAACTTGCTTTGTGTCAGACATGACGCTGAGTGCTTTCCTAGCATCCCTTTCCTGTAATCCTCAGAAAACTGAAGCTGGTACTAATGTTAGCTCAGCATTTTATAGATGAAGAAATCTGCCCAGTCACAAAACGGGAAAATGATAAAAAAATCTCAAGTCTGCCCAATTCCAGGGCCCAAATATAAGTCTTCAGTTCTCTGACAAAGACAGGGTCTCTTTGGGGAACTAGGTTCTTTGACCTTTTTACCACTAAGTTATCAGCTCCCTAAGGCAGGAAGGAGGCCTGTCTCATTCACCTTCCCACACTCCAGCCTAGACAGTCATCAGCAAGGATATCTACTCATGAACGAATGATTCATCTTTCACTACAAGAAGTCTGGCCAGTTGGTTGGACATACTGCTGACACCAGGAGATGGCTACTCCAGTTCTGAAATAACTGGGTCTCCAAACGCCTAATCCCATCCTGCCAAGCTATTTCAGTGGCCTTGAGCAGGTCCAGAGACAATAATTCCCAGAGGATTTTTTAAAATTTAAAAATTTTTAAAAATTAAAAAAAAAAAAGAAGACAGCCGAGCCCTCCAGCTCTGAGTGAAATGCCCCCTGACCCCAGGGCTGGGGCAGGGAGGTTAGGGAGCCTGCTGCGAGCCTGCAGAATCTCAAGTTCCCCGACCAGGGACTGAACCCAGGTCACAGCGGGGAAAGCACTAAATCCCAACCACTGGACCGCCAGGGAATTCCCTGAATGGTTCATCTAACAGTGACTAATTCAAAAGCCAAATCATCTCATGTCAGCCACCACCCCACCCCCAGGGTCATGACCCTGGCTTAAGAGCAGCCTGTGCTAGTCATGGGAGCCTTGGAGCTGTGGGGAAGCAGTCACCTTGAGAACACTCAGAACTCAATCCTCCAGCAGTGAGTATGCACTGCTCACTGCGTGGGGCAGGTACACACCAACCCTGACATCAAGCACTGCTGAAAGGCCAAGATCCACCATAGGAATGATGGGTCCAAGATAAAGAAGCAGCTCAGTCCTAGAGAAGCTGGGAGAATATAAATAGATCCGAAATCCAAACCACTCTCATCCCCGAGGGAGGCAGAAAAGTGAGGCTGGAAGACAGGACTTATCACCTGGGAGGAGGTCCAAGTAGATGGAGAAGATCACAGAGCATCCAGCTAAGCTAGTGCCTCCCTGGCAGCACCAGCAGAGCTGAGACCAAGAGGCCCCAGTGCTGCTGTTTATAGCTCAGACTCCGCTGGTTAAATCGAGTATAGCACCCCGTGCCACCGGGCACAGGAGGCTTTTCATTAACAAGGAGGTGGCAGCTCTAAATGCAGTCATGTGGAACAACGCCCAAAATAAACTAAGTGGTGGGGGACGGGGGGGCGCTGCTGCAAAACGCCCAGAAGCTGCTACTTGTATTTTTAAAGCTTGAGCTTCTGGTGAAACAGGTTCCTGGCGTTCCTCTGGGGAACTACTCCTTCCCAATTCTAGGTCCGATGTTTTTCCTTTTCTGGCAAACAGTGTGAGTTCGTTTTCTGCCTCTCTCACTAAGAAGACTAGTGATGGTAACAGCTAACACTGTGCACAGACACTGTGCCGCCTACTTTAGATGCACGAACTCCCCTGATCCTCACAACCCCAAGCTGTCAGTCGCTCAGGTGTGTTTGACTCTTTAAGACCCCACGGACTGTAGCCCATCAGGCTCCTCTCTCCATGGGATTCTCCAGGCAAGAATACTGGAGTGGGTTGCCATTTCCTTTTCCAGGGGATCTTCCTGACCCAGGGATTGAACCTGAGTCTTACACATTGCAGGCAGATATTTTACCATCTGAGCCACAGGGGGGGCATGCTATTACATTCCAGCCTTAGGGACACAGGTGCCTTGCTTGCTGAGCTAAGACCCGTCAGTGAGATGAGCTCTGGGGTCTTCATGGGCCCCTGGAGTGACTTCCTTCTCCATCCAGCCTAGACTCAGGGACTTTCCTTCAACTACACTCCAGTCCTTCCCCCACCACCAGCCTCTCTAGCGCACGTCCATCCACGTACCACCTCCACTGCGCCCCAGCACCCACAAGTCTGGTTCAACAGTTTCTCTGTTCCTAGAGCAGGGAGGTAGAAACCGAACAACCACAAAGACTACAAGATACATTTCTGAAACCCACTCAACACTCCAAAGCCCAAACTCAGAGGATCTCGGGGCAGAGGGGCAGAGGTGGGCCCTCTGTCCCAGGGCATATCTGGGAATGTCTGGAGGCGTTTTTGGTTGCCGGACTGGGAAGGGGGTCTGTGCTGTTGGTATAGGTTCCAGCCCTACCCGAACAACTGGAAGACGGCAGCACTTTGGGACGACAATGGCCTAAAACAGCTGGTTTTTAGGACCAGCTTAGGAGGGGTTTAGGAGGGGTCTTACGGACCCCCTCCTAAACAGTCTTGGTTCCCTTCTTCTCCCCCACCTGGGTCAGCGGCTGGCTGGTCTCTAACCCAGCCCACGTGACTTTTGCAACTCCACTGCCTCCTAGTCAACCACCTTCTTTCTGTCCCCACCGTTTAACACTGAGATAACTCAGTAATCTTTCAGTTGCCAAAGTTCCCCCATCTTCCTTCTCTTTCTCAGCAGCAAAACCACCTACCAACTATACCTTCCGTAGAGACCTGCGGCTCCCCGCCTCCCAGCAGTCTGTAGGCTCCGCCTTCTCGCTCAGTGCTGCCTTCCCACCCAGAACCCCCCTCCGCGAACCCTGCTTCTTCCATGTTGAGATCCTCCATGCTCCATGCGCAAACTCTGTTCTTCCTAATGTGCACAGACAAGCTCACTGCTAATGAACTGAAGGTCTCAAGCTGACCTCCAGTTCTTACCCTCTCTGGAGCCAACCAACTGCCCAGAGAGCTTCTCTCTGTGCCACAAGCACCGTAAACTCCACAAGTGAAGCAACTGTAACCAATCAGTTACCTAAGCCAGAAACCTGCAATCCAACCTAGATCCCTCTGGTCCCCTGCCTCTACCCTATTGCATTAAGGCTGCTGATCCAACTAGCTAATTATTTCTACTCTCCATCCCAATACCTTTGTACTTCAGCCCCGACACACTACCAGAAGAGCTTTTCATCTGCTCTCTGCCTGGACTCTCCCATCCCTAACTAATTGAGCTCTTCACACAGCTGCAAGGCGATGCTTTTAAGAGAGGTACTTGATCAGAGAGGCTTTCCAGGTGGCACAGCGGTAAAGAATCCACCTGCTTGTGCAGGAGACAGTCAGGAAGTTCCTCTGAAGTAGGAAATAGCAACCCACTCCAGTATTCTTGCCTGGGAAATCCCATGGACAGAGGAGCCTGGCGGGCTACAGCCCACGGGGTTGCAAAAGAGTGAGGCAAGACTGAGCATTCATGCACACTTGATCAGAGTTCCAGGCTCTGACATCTCCTCCCGACTACATCAAGGTAAACACTGAACTTCTTTCTGATCGCTTCTCAGCCTTTTGGCTAAGATCAAGTGAACTTCTTTCTGCAGCCCACAAGACCCTTGAAGATCTCGCCCCAATAAGCCATGCAGTCTCTTTAGGCTTTGCACTCCTACGGCAGACTTCCTTCTTCCCAGAATGCTCCACACTCTCCTTTCCCCCAGCTTTTACACATGCAGTTTCCTGCATCTGAAATGTTATCGCTTCCATTGTCCACTCAAATGCTATGTCCCTCGAGACAATCCCCTCATAAACAAAGCAACTCCAACACTGTACCTTAAACCCTAGTATCCCTCCCATTTGCCTTAACGTAACAAACTGCTGCTACTATTGGCTTCTATCACCTACTTAAAAATATCTTTGTGAGCAAGGGCTCTGCCTTACGCATCTTAGTACTCCCAGCACCCGGTAGAGCCCTATACAAGGAGTATATGCTTTATTCTCTTGGAATTTCAAGACCCCATCGGTAACGCAGGGACAGTAACTACCCCTAGGACTGCCATGAGTCTTACATGAGACAATAACAAAAGTCCGGCCAGAAGGAACTCGCACAAAAGGTTTAAAGAGCTTCTTTTACATTAAAGTCGGGAGCCACAGAGAGTCCTTTCCCAGAGGATGGGTGTGTTGCACAGATAAGTCTAAAAGTGCCTATCTCTATAAACGAGGTTAGTAATCGAAGCTGTCTGTAGGGGTCGTAATAAGGATTAACAGTGGCTGAAATGCCCTTTAGCGGTGTTTGGCATAAAAGCGAAGCTCAATAAACCGTAGCCATTATGTTGTTAACAGTGTTTATGCACCGCGATGGGGGCAGGGGGGCGCAGAGCGCCCAGCCTCGCGTCCGCACCCGCTGCAGACTCCTGGGGTTCCTCTCCAGGGCCCCCAATGAGATCCTCCCAGCCGTGCCGGGCCCTGCCTCCCTCCTCGGGCGCCAGCCTCCCCGAGGCCACCTGTCCGCCCGCCAGCCTCAGAAGAAAGGCCCGGGGAGGCGGGAAGCGAGGCCTCACGTGGAGCGCTGCGCCCGAGCGGAGAGGCGGCCCCGGCTACTCACTGAGCCATAGCTCCAGCGCCGGCGTCGGCCCCCGGGGCCCCTCGGCCGACTCAGCTCCCGCCGCGGCCCCGGCCCCCGCCGCCACCGCCGTCGCCGTCGCCATGGGCCCAGCCCCCGCCGACGAGGCCGAGGCCGCCGCTGCGCTTCAGCCGCCGGCGTCTGCAGCGTTCCGGGGCTGCCGACGCGGCAGGCGAAGGCCGGCACGTGACGGGGCGGAGCCTGTATGGCCACGCCCACCGATCAGGTCCCGCCTCCGCGCAGGCCACGGCAGGTGGGCTCAGCCTCGCCGAAAGCCTTCCGCTCAGCGCTAGGCGGCCTCGCGGGCTGGTTATCCAGACTCGCAACCAGATCAGAATTCGCCAAGTCAACTTCGCAAGTCCTGCCAGAAAAATAGAGGGAGCCCCGTTAATCTGGGTCTCAGATAACAAATTCTCTAGCATTTTTATTCCGGACGGTCTTTCCGGACTACCACCTATATATCTGTACTCTATTTTCTCCAGAATACACCATGAGCGTGCTAGGCACTTACTCACTGTGTCAAAGGATAATCGCCGCCACCACCCCCCACCGCCACAAAAAAAAGTCACGATTCTCATTCATTATAAAATGAACACATGTTAAGTATTTAACGCTAATTAAATGAGGGAACCAAGCAGAGTTACAATCCGTTCAAAACAGAAGTCAGGAAAAGGTCAAATTTATACAGAATAAAGGAATGTTGCAACAGATGTGCGAATAGACACAAAATTAGCTCAGTTAATTTGCATTTTATATATTTATTCATTTGCTTTTTACCTTTTCATTTAAGGCCTCTCGGTGAGCTTTACAAGGATCTTAGTTCCCTGACCAGAGATCCAATGGCAGCCCGCTGCAGTGGAAGCCTGGAGTCCTAACCACTAGGGCCACCAGGGAACTCCCCAGTTTGCATGTTTATAGGCAAGAATTATTTTCATAGCTGTCAGTTATCTACAACTAACAGAGTTGTAAGACATCTCTAGGACAGTGAAGGAAAGGCTAGGCACTGGAAAGGTGTGCTCTCTACATAATGGGTAGTTTTCCTTTGAAGCTCAAGTGCTCTGTACTCCATTACCTGCTTCACCCCACTAATACAGGCAGGAACTTTGTACACTTCCATGTCTCCACTTACCTAGGGTCGTGCCTGGCACACCAGTACTGATAAATACTTGTTGAATGGCCAGATGAACAGTGGAAGCAATAAGAGGTCGCTATAGGAATTTAGGGTCTTCTAAGGTGGTGCTAAAAGAATCCATCTGCGAATGCAGAAGACATGAGACGCAGGTTCAATCCCTGGGTTGGGAAGATCCCCTGGATGAAGGCATGGCAACCCACTCCAGTATTCTTGTCTGGAGAATCCCATGGATAAAGGAGCTTGGCACGCTACAGTCCATAGGGTCACAGAGAGTCGGACATGACGGAAGTGACTTAGCATGCACGTGTCCATAGGAATTTAGGTCCCACCCCTGCCCCAAATAAACACACAATATAAGTTTCAAAGTATATTTGCTGTGCTATGTTAGCTTCAAAATAGATCCAGCCACATACATCTCCATCTCACAGATTGTTGCCTGTAGCACCTTTCTATATGAAAATTATACAGTTGTTACCTGTCTTAGTAAACTTGGACTGATACAACAAAATACTAAAGGTTGAGTGGCCTAAACAACAGACGTTTATTTCCCACTGGAGGCTGGCAAGTCCAAGATCAAGGTGCTGTTGACAACCTGCTTCCAGGTTTGCAGAATGCTGCTTTCTTGTGCTCACAGGGTGGAGAGACAGCACACTCTGATCATTTCCTTTTAGGGCACTAATCCCATCATGAGGGAATGCACCCTCAGGACCACAACTAAGCTAATTACCTCCCACAGCACCCACCTCAAATACCATCACATGGACATTAACACTTCAGCATGTGAATTTGAATTCAATCTATAGCATTATTCATATCAGGGAAATTTTGTACGAAATTAATGAAAACTATATATTGTCCTTTGGACTGCAAGATCAAACCAGTCAATCGTAAAGGAAACCAACCCTGAATGTTCATTAGAAGGACTGATGTGGGGCTACAATACTTTGGCCACCTGATGCAAAGGGCCAACTTATTGGAAAAGACCCTGATGCTGGGAAAGATTGAAGGGAGGAGAAGGGGACGACAGAGGATGAGATGGTTGAATGGCATCACTGATTCAATGGACATGAGCAAGCTCTGGGAGATAGTGAAGGACAGGGAGGCCTGGTGAGTGCAGTCCATGGGGTTACAAAGGGTCAGACACAACTGAGTGATTGAACAACAATACGTTGTCCACAGCACACCCTCTGATATCTGATTTGGGGCCTGGGAATTATTTTGCATGTGTGCTAAGTCGCTTCTCAGCAAGACAGTATATTAAAAAGCAGAGACATTACTTTGCCAACAAAGGTCTGTCTAGTCAAAGCTATGGTTTTTCCAGTAGTCATGTATGGATGTGAGAGTTGGACTATAAAGAAAGCTGAGCACCAAAGAATTGATGCTTTTGAATTGTGGTATTGGAGAAGACTCTTGAGGGTCTCTCGGACTGCAAGGAGATCCAACCAGTTCATCCTAAAGGAAATCAGTCCTGAATATCATTGGAAGGACTGATGCTGAAGCTGAAAGTCCAATATTTTGGCCACCTGATGAGAAGAGCTGACTCTGACATTGGGAAAGATTGAAGGTGGGAAAGAGAAGGGGATGACAGAGGATGAGATGGCTGGATGGCATCACTGACTCAATGGACATGAGTTTGAGTAAACTCCAGGAGTTGGTGATGGACAGGGAGGCCTGGCGTGCTGCAGTCCATGGGGTCGCAAAGTGTTGGACACGACTGAGCGACTGAACTGAAGTTGATTCTGGGCTTCCCTGGTGGCTCAGTGGTAAAGAATCTATCTGCAATGTGCAAGACCTGGGTTCAATCCCTGGGTTGGGAAGATCCCCTGGAGAAGGAAATGGCAACCCACTCCAGTATTCTTGCCTGGAGAATCCCATGGACAGAGGAGCCTGGTGGACTATAGTCCTTGGGGTTGAAAAGAGTCACATGTGACTGAGGGACTAACACTTTCACTTTAAGTCGCTTCAGCCATTCACATAGACTTCAGCCAAGTCTTTGTGACCCCATGGACTGTAGCTGCCAGGCTCCTCTGTCCATGGGATTCTCCAGGCAAGAGTACTGGAATGAGTTACCATTTCCGCCTCCAGGGGATCTTCCCAACCCAGGGCTCGAACTGGAGTCTCTTACCTTTCCTGCATTGGCAGGTGGGTTCTTTACCACTAGCACCACCTGGGAAGTCTTGGAATTATTTTACATCTCCATAAACTGTACGTAACTGAAAGCAATGGAAAATTATTCTTTTCTATGGACAAGCAAATGATTCTGTCCTCGGAAGACACAACCCTCTTCCTGTGGAAAAAACAGCTTTGCTTCCATTTTGCAGATTCATTTCAATGTTCCTGATCTTCAAATGGGTCTGTCTTTGGATTCGCCTTTGAACTGGTTGTAACATCTCACCAGGTTCTTCAGTGAGATGAATTAAGTGAAAAATTTAACATGTGTTCATCTCTCAAAAATTCTAAATATCTGTCAACACTGGAGCTGGGTTTCCTCGTTGCAAGAAATGCCTGGAGATGACCAGAGGCCGTGCCCTGGAGGAGGGCTCCAGCTCTCTGTTTTGCAAAGAACCATCCTATACCTTGGGCTTCCCTGGTGGCTCAGAGAGTAAAGAATCTGCCTGTGATGTGAGAGACCTGGGTTCGATTCCTGGGTTGGAAAGATCCCCTGGAGGAGGGCATGCAACCCGCTCCAGTATTCTTACCTGGAGAATCCCCATGGGCAGAGGAGCCTGGCGGGCTACAGTTCATGGGGTCACAAAGAATCAGACACAGCTGAGCGACTAAGCACAGCACAGCATCCTTATGCCTAACATGTTATTTATTTTAAGCACCTGTACTCTTTGAACATTTTGACATATGATCAGTGGTTCTCAAACTAGCATTTGTCAGAACTACCTGGAAGGCTAGTTAAAACATGGAATGCAAGACCCCACCCACATAGCTTCTGATTCAGTAGGTCTGAAGTATGGAGTGTGTGTTCAGTCCTGTCCAATTCTTTGAGATCCTGTGGACTGTAGCCCACCAGGCTCCTTTGTCCACAGGATTTTCCCAGACAAGAAGACTGAAGCAGGTGACCATTTCCTCTTCCAGGGGATCTTCCCAGCCCAGGGATTGAACCCACATCTCCTGTGTCTCCTGCCTTGGAAGGCAGATTCTCTGAACCTAGGAAGTGGGGTGAAGTACAAGAATCTAATTATTCTTCCTCTAGTCAATGCTTGAGAGACCACAACTGAAAGGTTAAAGGGTAAGTGGGCGGTAAGGAAGTGGTTTGGGAGTTCTATGTAGTGGTTGGGTGCAGAAGCTTTGGTTTCAGACCAAACAATGCTGTCACCCTCACCAGCCTTCCAGGACCCCTCTTGCGTGTCTTTGCAGCCCTTCCTGCCCAAGTTCCCTTCTGTTTTCCATTTTCTTTCCTATGTCATGTGCATGGCCTGTGGTCTGTCTCTTCTTTCTGGACAATGAACTTTCATAAGCAGGGGCCATGTCTATCTAATTTCCCAATCTTTCTGACACCAGCGACCGGTTTCATGAGAAACAATTTTTCCTGGACCTGGGCGGGGCAGGGGTGAGCATGGTTTGGGGCATGAGGCTTCCCCGGTGGTTCATTCTGTAAAGAATCTGCCTGCAATGTGGGAGACCTGGGTTCGATCCTTGGGTCAGGAAGATCCCCTGGAGAAGGGATAGACTACCCATTCCAGTATTGCTTGGCTTCTCCTATGGCTCAGATGGTAAAGAATCCGCCTGCAACGCAGACCTGGGTTTGATCCCTGGCCAGGGAGATTCCCCTGGAGAACGGAATGGCCACCCATTCCAGTATTCTTGCCTGGAGAATTCCATGGACAGAGGAGCCTGGCAGACTACAGTCCAAAGGGTCACAAACAGTTGGACACGACTGAGCGACTAACATTTTCACTTTCAAGTGCATAACATTTATTGTGCACTGTATTTCTATTATT